GATGGAATCGTCCTCTGAAGCCTCGGCTACTAGGGATTCCAACTGTGGTGAGGGTGGTGGAGGTGGTCGGTTGAGCAGGTTGCAGAAGTGCTCTCTCCAGCGGTCCAGCTGCTGTTCTGGAGTATCCAGGTCAGACCCATCCAGGGCCTTTACACACGCTGTGGGTGGAGTAACTTTCCCTGAGAGAGTTCTGAGGGTTTTATACAGGGTGCCTTGATTCCCTGTGCGTGCAGCGGTCTCAGCCGTAGTCGCCAGGTTGTCTAGCCACCGTTGCTTGTCCCTACTGAGGAGGTGATTCCTCCTAGAGTTCAGCCTCCTGTACTCCTCACGGTTCCCTCGCAGACGGGCTTCTCTCCTTGCCTCAACTACTTGTAACGTCTCTTCTGACAGTAGATCCTTCTTTCTGGTCCTTTTGTGACCCACCACCTTAGTTGCGGAGCTTGTTAGACCTTCCTTGAGATCCTCCCAGATTTTCTCTGTGTCGTCGTCTACATCCGCCAGCACAGAGAAACGGTTCTGCAGATCCAACTGGAAACGGTCGACCACCTCCTGTGACTGGAGTCTGGCCACATCATACTTGCGTTGTTTATGCTGAGTTGTAGTCTTCTCTAGACGAAGAGCAACGGTCAGGGCTAGAAGTCTGTGGTCCGTGTTCCCGAATTCTGCACTGCACAGAATATAACCATCTTAATCTTCAGCCTGCTAAGGTGGATTTTGGCACCAATAAGAATCTTAACAGAGTGAGTAAACAACTATCATCATCAGACCTACTTATGTTCTGATGATTTAGATTGTATTTGAGGGGCAATTTTTCGGTAAGGGACGTCTTTGCACTAGTGGACACACCTCCGTGTCTCCAATTCTGCCTTGCCACCGTATGATCTGCTTGGAGATTTAATATTATGGGTTGCCAAGTGGCAGTTTCCCCCACTGCACGTTGAATACCCGTGATGCTCTACTGCACACGATGCCCGGAGGTGCATGTGAGGTCCTACATGTGGTGCATGTGGTGGCGTGGAGACTGTCAAACCTGTTGGACAACTATTAGACCCTTGACACGGTATAAAAAAAGGACTGGTCCACTCTAAAAACGGGTAGCTATTGCTTTTATAATGCCCAATACCATAGCTAGTGTACATGCAACATTTCTAATATATGAATTCTCAGGGGATACGTAGCGCATACCAAGATCTAAATAAGAAAAGTAGAGATGTAGCTTGGACATCGTACTTCAAAGGAAGGGAGCACTAAAATACCACCCCACCCCCGATATAGGTTTTGGAAGTCATGCAGAAAGCAAGGTCTTGAGGCCATGTCTTTTTTATGGGTAACCCTTTTGAGTCTCTACAGAAACAACATGGGCAAATTTGACAGCAAGGAGCCTTCAATATCAGTTTTCTGACACAAGTCGCCTCTTGGATGAACTTACAGGTGTGTAAATTCTTTCTCCCTTGAAATATTTTGTTTCTACACTCCAATATTTTCGCACTAGGCACACTCCTCTCTAGTAATGCGAAGGGAAACGAGGAGGGGCTTTCTTTTGTCTTATTTGTCGTATAATTCTTTGGGAAATAGAAGAAACACAGCTACAAAATGAACTTATTTGCTGAATTCAAGTTTGTTGACTCAAAGCCATGTCAAGTGTGACGGGTCCTACCCAAAATGAGATGCTTTTAGACGATAATCTACCACAATGCTATATGTATAATGTTGCAGGTCTTTTGACATGTAATTGCATAATTTTAGGACCGTTTTAGACAGTAAATTGGTTGTTCAAGTTTTTGGTTTAAGTATCGTTTTGAGTTGTTTTTTCTTGCGATAGAGGCCCCTTGAAAAGTGCAAAACTTAATTTTCCTTTACACTGAAGTAAGATAAATTTGTAACATATTTTCTATCGGTGAACGTATTCACGTAAATGTTCGAATTCAATTATACAAAATTCATCATTCTCACTATATATAACGTTATATATATGAAATTAACTGTGCTTGCTAGCTATCTGAGTCTAAGACTGTAATATAATATTTTCAGCCTGATGAGCAGAGTTCGGATGCCTCCCAGGTAGTCGTGATGGGGCTAGTGTCGGGCGCATGGCGCAAGGTGCCCCGCCGGTTCTTCGTGCTGGAGCTGATGATCCTAACGCTCATCGCGCAAGGCGGGCCCGAACCCAACTTCCAAGTGGTGAAGGGAGCGCCTCCGGGGACCAGGGCGGAGCAACCCGACTGTCAAACAAGTGGGCGGGGCTTACCCTACACCCTAACCTCACGGGGCGGGGTCACACTGACCTTAACCGACAGGGACATTGACAGACTTCAGATGTTTCTCAGAAAAAATCTCATCTTAGAAAACCTCAGGGACGAGACAATATCAGAAACAGGTATGATAGCCCATGTCCTACTTGAAGGTTCAAGGTACTATGATTGTCGTAAAATTGTATTGCTATGTATAGAAGGTTGTAGATTTTAGATACGTTGATTAAATGGTACTATTTTAATCTAATTAGATACCGGCACGTTCAACTGGGCCTCCTACTATGGGAACCACCTGGTTCTACAGCAGGGCCCACACAGGGCTGTACTCTGGGGGTACGGAGAGGTGGGAGCCACTGTCAAAATCAGTGTTACATCAGGAGGTTTCTACTCAACTAAAGTTTATAAAGGTACAGTTTGAAGGATTAACTGCGCTCTTTCCAGTATACTTAACGATACTAGGTGTTTCTACTACTATTTTCCAGGTTTAATTTCCTTATATACAATGTATTTACATCTTTCTAAGCTCCTCTACACCTGTCAAAAGCAGAGTTAAAACGTTAGAATTGGAATATTGTTTATCTATGTGTAGAACATAGAATTGAAAGGTGCGCCAAAAGCCCAATCTTCTCCTTCTACTGTCTTTACTTCTCCAACTGAAGTATCAGTGAAATCTGAGTGCATGCAGTAAGGAAAGTCGCTTTTTAAGTGTCTTCCCATAGAACACAGAACTTTCAGGGATAGAACTCATGACAAGTTGTTCCGTTAGCATACACCTCATTACATCGACAGTTCAGTTTTTGTCACATTATTTCTCTCAGGAAATGGTGGGCAGGGTGTTTGGAAAGTCTCGCTAGACCCCATGCCACCAGGAGGGCCGCACAAAATTCATGGCATCCATGATGTAAAAGGAACACTGCAGCGGATTTCTCTTGATGACGTGATGTTTGGAGACGTGTGGGTGTGCAGTGGACAGAGCAACATGGAGTTCACTGTAGGACAGGTAATGATAGTTGTTCAGAGGATATACTCAATGTTATGTGCCTGCCTCATCCATTGCTCAGGTATATCGGAATCAAATATCTGCACCTTGGCACGTTACAACGAGGTATAACGTCATTGATCTGTGAATATTGAATGAACTGTAGTTTATTTCTCGTCTTTTGCAACGGGTTGAAAACACCAAGCAAAAAACAAATGCATGGACATATACATCATGACATTTTACCTGTTAACTGTTTTATCTAAAATAACATAATATAAACGTCAAATTCGCTTACTGCTTGTTTATGTGTCTGTAAAACTGTAGGCATTCCATGCCCCCACGGTCATAGCAGAGGCAGCTAACTTCCCTGACATTAGACTGTTCACTGTTGAAAGAATGCAGTCAGACAAACCTCTGTATGACTTGGACAAGATCCTCCAGCCTTGGGCCGTGGCTAGCTCTGGTGGGTAACAGTTGTTCTGAATTTCTTGTTTTTCATTATAGCAAATGTTTCGCAAATTTCTCTTACGCACACACAAACAAATAGAAAAAAGCACACACCAAAAACAAGCCCTCTTTAGAAAGAGGTTCATAAGTTGCTATTGTGTAGCCTTTAACTTAGACTTCCTCAAACAGACGGTATGTCACCCTCATGAAGGAAATGTAGGATTTTATGAATATACAAGGCACAAACAAAATTGGAGAAGGAATCATAATAATATGATCATTTTAGCAGTTCGAATATTTCCTTATAGAAAGTGTTGGAGGTGCAGACTGGCAGTACTTCTCTGCTGTTTGCTGGTTCTTTGGGAGAGATCTGTACAAACACCTGGGCTACCCAATCGGACTGGTGGCCACTTCCTGGAGCGGCACAGCTATAGAGACATGGTCACCACCTCAGGTGTTGGATAGCTGCAATATAACACAAAGCTACAGGTAGGTAGAAAGGACTGTTATACTGTTGAAGGGTAATATAATCGTCATGAATATCAGCTCAAAAGTGTATAATGTCATTAATTTATAAACTAAGTTATTGATTGCTGTGGTTTTAACCGAAGTCCCGTGTGTATTTTGAAGTGACCGTTGTGTTGTCTAAATCAGACTGTACTACATTGTCGACAGGGAAGAGCTTGAAGATACAGAGCTGGGAGATCTAGACACACCCAGGGAACATTCAGTGCTGTGGAATGCCATGATTCATCCTCTGCTGAATATGACAATCATGGGGGCAATCTGGTATCAAGGTACGTGGTATTGGTTGCGGCATAAAAATAAGTTTTAAAAAATATTGAGTGTGTCGTCACCGCGTCTTGTGATTACATGTTGGAAGTTTTAAAAAAACTTTGTTGTGGTCTTGTGTTTATAATATTGATGTACTCACCCAGGAGAGTCCAACACCCCTGAACCTGACTCCTACTCCTGTTCCTTCCCTGGGATGATTGACAGCTGGAGGAAGGAGTGGTACATGGGGACTGGGGGACAGACAGACAGACACTTCCCCTTTGGATTCGTGCAGGTGGACACGATTTGTAGAATATCGTTGTGGTGTTGTAAGTTGTCATTTTCTTTCTGCACCAGAATGGGTGGCATGGAATAGCAGTATGCATCTGTTTCAATGTAGCTTTCTTGAATATTTTCCTGATAATTACATATATCAACTTCAACACCGGGTGCAATGGGTATGAGCTACCCTGCCATCAGATGGCACCAGACAGCTGACTACGGCTATGTCCCTAACCCAGCCATGCCCAATGTCTTCATGGCAGTGGCTGTGGACCTGGTGGATCCAAACTCACCTTTTGACAGGTATTTCTGAATGTATCTTTACATTCCCTTCTTGTTGTGATAGCTATTGCAAGTTGATTGTGTACAGTCCAGTGGATAGAGGTCTATCTCATGCTATGACCTGGCCATTTACCATATACATGTAGAAGAGGAATAATGAATAAGAGCAGTGGTAGTCCATGTGATAGCTATTCAGCACCAAGGAGAAAGAATATCCTGATTCGAATTTCATGTTTTGGCTGTTTGTTTTGCACAACTGGTACAGCGTCTCAATATGCGTAACCTCTCCAGTTATGTATTATAAGTGTTGCATATCACTACACATATAGCACAACACATATAGCTTCGATCCATTATCCGACCCCACACAGACCTTGTTAAACAGGCCTAGGATTGCAACATGACCAGTTGAGCCACAGCTCGCTTCTATGGAATGGATTTGAAGATGTAGCTTTATTTCAACACAGTGGACTTGAAGATTGAGTACTTAAAATCTGTACATACCTGACCTGTGATGTATTTTGTTCACCCAGCATTCATCCTCGCGATAAACAAGACATCGGAAGCCGATTGGTCCTCGGTGCGCGTGCTGTAGCGTACAGCGAGGCCAACGTGATATTCCAGGGCCCGCGTCCTGTCAGTGTGGACGTGGACCCTGAGAAGAAGACCGTGCGTAGGGTCTACTCCAAATCAGTGAAGATCACTGTTAAGTCTGACGACGGTTTTGAGGTAAGAAAAATTTGTTAGCTGTTTTTCTAGTCTTTGATTCTTCTAGATCTTGTTTTCTTCTTGTACGTTTTACATTTGCGACATTCCCCCCAGGTGCGCTGGACCAGTTTGTTTCAGTAAAGATTGTACATTTGTGACGTTCCCCCACGTGTGCTGCTCCCCAGACTTGGACCAGTTTGTTTCAGTAAAGATTGTACATTTGTGACGTTCCCCCACGTGTGCTGCTCCCCAGACTTGGACCAGTTTGTTTCAGTAAAGATTGTACATTTGTGACGTTCCCCCCAGGTGTGCTGCTCCCCAGACTTGGACCAGTTTGTTTCAGTAAAGATTGTACATTTGTGACGTCCCCCCAGGTGTGCTGCTCCCCAGACTTGGACCAGTGCTCCATGACTTCGCAGGAGTGGGTTCAAGTCCCCATCGTGTTCAGCACCTCCTATTCCATCACCCTGCAGCTCACGCAGGACTGCTGGGAGAACGTCACGTACATCCGCTACCTGTGGAAGCAGTGGCCCTGCGACTTTAAGGAATGTGCCGTGTACTCTGTGGAAAACGACTTACCTGAGGCGCCGTTCTTTGGATGCATGATGGAGCCGGACAAGAAACCTCCCTGCTAGAATAGCAGTGAATGTGCAGTGTTATCTACTAAAACTAGTGAAATGCTGAAATACTTATTGTTGTTTAATGGTGGCTTACATTTAGTTTAACTATGCAAACTGTGAGCATCAAGCAGAGGAGTCCTGAAGTACTATCTGTAGCAAGATGTGTAATTCAACTGCTACTATGGTCTGGCACTATGTGTCTCAACAGCAAATTATGTCTAACATGTCATTGTAAGATGTATGAGGTTGTTTTTATACCATTCGTTTTATATTCAGGAAAAGGATTTGCTTATAGGATGTATAAATGCTACTATTTATTTTATATTTGTTTTGTATATATCAAAGCCTTTATATTTCTCCGTACATTTCTAAGCGGATGTGTACACATGTACACAAAAATGTTCAAAATAGATTGAATGTAAGGTATGTGCAATTTGTGCAATTTCTTCTGTTCATTGTAAAATTGCCCTGGTATTACAATGTGTAATACTGTATAAATCTGTGGGTTGTGATAGAAAAATCTGCAAATATTGCCATAGCATGCATTTGAAAAATAAAAAGAATGGAAAGATTGTCACATGTTTTTACACTAGATGTTTTACTTTACAGTCCATGGACCACCCAGAGTCACCCATGCACATGTGCTAACAAGTCATGTATTATTCGGTAAGGGACGTCTTTGCCCTAGTGGATACACCTCCCTGTCTCCAATACTGCCTTGCCACCGTATGATCTGCTTGGAGATTATTATGGGTTGCCAAGTGGCAGTTTCCCCCACTGCACGTTGAATACCCGTGATGCTCTACTGCACACGATGCCCGGAGGTGTATGTGAGGTCCTACATGTGGTGCATGTGGTGGCGTGGAGACTGTCAAACCTGTTGGACAACTATTAGACCCTTGACACGGTAAAAAAAGGACTGGTCCACTCTAAAAACGGGTAGCTATTGCTTTTATAATGCCCAATACCATAGCTAGTGTATATGCAACATTTCTATAAGAATTCTCAGGAGGTACATAGCGCATTCCAAGATGTAGTTAAGAAAAGTAAAGATGTAGCTTGGACATCATACTTCAAAGGAAGAGAGCACTAAAATACCACACCACCCCCGATATAGGTTTTGGAAGTCATCCAGAAAGCAAGGCCTTGAGGCCTTGTCTTTTTTATGGTAACCCTTTTGGATCTCAACAGACTGACAATATGGAGAAATTTTACAGTAATGAGCCTTCAATATCAGCTTTTTGACACAAGCTTGTCGCCTCTTGGATGAACTTACAGGTGTGTAAATTATTTCTTCCTTGAAATATTTTGTTTCTACACGCCAATGTTTTCGCACTAGGCGCACTCCTCTCTAGTTATGCGATTGGAAAAGAGGAGGGGCTTTCTTTTGTCTTATTTATCGTATAATTCTTTGGAAAATAGAAGAAACACAGCTACAAAATGAACTTATTTGCTGATTAAGTTTGCTGATTCCAAGCCATGTCAAGTGTGACGGTCCCTAACCAAAATGAGATGCTTTTAGACGATAATCTACCACAATGCTATATGTATAATGTTGTAGGACAATTTGACATGTAATTCTAAATAATTTTAGGACCGTTTTAGACAGTAAATTGGTTGTTCAAGTTTTTGGTTTAAGTATCGTTTTGAGTTGTTTTTTCTTGCGATAGAGGCCCCTTGAAAAGTGCAAAACTTAATTTTCCTTTACACTGAAGTAAGATAAATTTGTAACATATTTTCTATCGGTGAACGTATTCACGTAAATGTTCGAATTCAATTATACAAAATTCATCATTCTCACTATATATAACGTTATATATATGAAATTAACTGTGCTTGCTAGCTATCTGAGTCTAAGACTGTAATATATAATATTTTCAGCCTGATGAGCAGAGTTCGGATGCCTCCCAGGTAGTCATGATGGGGCTAGTGTCGGGCGCATGGCGCAAGGTGCACCGCCGGTTCTTCGTGCTGGAGCTGATGATCCTCACGCTCATCGCGCAAGGCGGGCCTCAACCCAACTTCCAGGTGGTGAAGGAAGCGCCTCCGACGGGGACCAGGGCGGAGCAACCCGACTGTCAAACAAGTGGGCGGGGCTTACCCTACACCCTGACCTCACGGGGCGGGGTCACACTGACCTTAACCGACAGGGACATTGACAGACTTCAGATGTTTCTCAGAAAAAATCTCATCTTAGAAAACCTCAGGGACGAGACAATATCAGAAACAGGTATGATAGCCCATGTCCTACTTGAAGGTTCAAGGTACTATGATTGTCGTAAAATTGTATTGCTATGTATAGAAGGTTGTAGATTTTAGATACGTTGATTAAATGGTACTGTTTTAATCTAATTAGCTCCTGGCACGTTCAACTGGGCGTCCTACTATGGGAACCACATGGTTCTACAGCAGGGCCCACACAGGGCTGTACTCTGGGGGTATGGAGAGGTGGGAGCCACTGTCAATGTCAGTTTTACATCAGGAGGTTTCTACTCAACCAAAGTTTATAAAGGTACAGTTTGAAGGATTAACTACGCTCTTTCCAGTATACTTAACGATACTAGGTGTTTCTACTACTATTTTCCAGGTTTAATTTCCTTATATACAATGTATTTACATCTTTCTAAGCTCCTCTACACCTGTCAAAAGCAGAGTTAAAACGTTAGAATTGGAATATTGTTTATCTATGTGTAGGACATAGAATTGAAAGGTGCGCCAAAAGCCCAATCTTCTCCTTCTACTGTCTTTACTTCTCCAACTGAAGTATCAGTGAAATCTGAGTGCAGTAAGGAAAGTCGCTTTTTAAGTGTCTTCCCATAGAACACAACCTCCACGGATAGTACTCATGACAAGTTTTTCCATTAGCATACACCTTATTACATCGACAGTTTAGTTTTTTTCACATTATTTCTCTCAGGAAATGGTGGGCAGGGTGTTTGGAAAGTCTCGCTAGACCCCATGCCACCAGGAGGGCCCCACCAAATTCATGGCGTCCATGACGTAAAGGGAACATTGCAGCAGATTTCTCTTGATGACGTGATGTTTGGAGACGTGTGGGTGTGCAGTGGACAGAGCAACATGGAGTTCACTGTAGGACAGGTAATGATAGTTGTTCAGGAGATATACTCAATGATATGTGCCTCATCCATTGCTTACTATAGATAGGTATATCGGAATCAAATATCTGCACCTTGAGGTATAACATCATTGATCTGTGAATGAACTGTAGTTAATTTCTTGTCTTTTGCAACGGGCTGAAAACACCAAACAAAAAACAAATGCATGGACATATACATCATGACATGTTACCTGTTAAATGTCTTCTCTAAAATAACATAATATAAATGTCAAATTCGCTAACTGCTTGTTATGTGTCTGTACACTGTAGGCATTCCATGCCCCCACGGTCATAGCAGAGGCAGCTAACTTCCCTGACATTAGACTGTTCACTGTTGAGAGAATGCTGTCAGACAAACCCCTGTATGACTTGGACAAGATCCTCCAGCCTTGGGCCGTGGCCAGCCCTGGTGGGTAATAGTTGCTGTGAATTTCTTGTTTTTCATTATAGCAAATTTCTCAATGTATGATTTTATATGGGTATACAAGACACAAAGTTTCAGAAGTATTCATAATGTAATCATTTTAGCGATTCGAATATTTCCTTATAGAAAGTGTTGGAGGTGCAGACTGGCAGTACTTCTCTGCTGTTTGCTGGTTCTATGGGAGAGATCTGTACAAACACCTGGGCTACCCCATCGGACTGGTGGCCACTACCTGGAGCGGCACAGCTATAGAGACATGGTCATCTCCTCAGGTGTTGGATAGCTGCGATATAACACAAAGTTACATGTAGGTATAAAGGACTGTTATACTGTTATACTGTTGAATATCAGCCCAAAAGTGTCATTAATTTACAAACTACGTTGTTGGTTGCTGTGGCTTTAACCCAAGTCCCGTGTGTACATGTTTTCCAAATTTGAAGTGACCGTTGTGTTGTCTAAATCAGACTGTCCTACATTGTCACGACAGGGAAGAGTTTGAAGATGCAGAGCTGGGAGACACACCCGGGGAACACTCAGTGCTGTGGAACGCCATGATTCACCCTCTGCTGAATATGACAATCATGGGGGCAATCTGGTATCAAGGTAGGTGGTATTGGTTGCGGCAATAAAAGAAATTTTTAAAAAAATTGAGTGTGTCGTCACCGCGTCTTGTGATTACATGTTGGAACTAAAAAATAACTTTGTTGTGGTCTTATGTTTATGATGTACTTACCCAGGAGAGTCCAACACCCCTGAACCTGACTCCTACTCCTGTTCCTTCCCTGGGATGATTGACAGCTGGAGGAAGGAGTGGTACACGGGGACTGGGGGACAGACAGACAGACACTTCCCCTTTGGATTTGTGCAGGTATAGACACAATTTTTAGAATGCTAGTATCGTTGTGGTGTTGTAAGTTGTCATTTTCTTTCTGCACCAAAATGGGTGGCATGGAATAGCAGCATGCATCTGTTTCGATGTAGCTTTCTTAAACATTTTCCTGATAATTACAGATATCAACTTCAACACCGGGTGCAATGGGTAGGAGCTATCCTGCCATCAGGTGGCACCAGACAGCTGACTACGGCTATGTCCCTAACCCAGTCATGCCCAATGTCTTCATGGCAGTGGCTGTGGACCTAGTGGATCCAAACTCTCCTTTTGACAGGTATTTCTGAATTTATCTTTACATAATGAAACCTGCATTCCTTTCTTGTCGTGATAGCTATTGCAAGTTGCATGTGTACAGTCCAATGGATAGAGTTCTATCTCATACTATGACCTGGCTATTTACCATATACATGTAGAAGAGAAATGATGAATAAGAGCAGTGGTAGTCCATGTGATAGCCATTCAGCACCAAGGAGAAAGAATGTCCTGATTCGAATTTCATGTTTGGCTGTTTGTTTTGCATACGTGGTACAGCGTCTCAATGCGTAACGCACCAGTTATGTATAGTGTTGCATATCACTACACATATAGCTTTGATCCACTATCCGCCCCCATACACACTTTGTTACACATAGGCCTAGGACTGCATCATGATCAGTTGAGCCACAGCTCGCTTCTATGGAATGGATTTGAAGATGTAGCTTTATTTCAACACAGCGGACTTTAAGATTGAGACTTCAAATCTGTACATACCTGATCTGTGATGTATTTTGTTTACCCAGCATTCATCCTCGCGATAAACAAGACGTTGGAAGCCGATTGGTCCTCGGTGCGCGTGCTGTAGCGTACAATGAGGCCAACGTGATATTCCAGGGCCCGCGTTCTGTCAGTGTGGACGTGGACCCTGAGAAGAACACCGTGCGTAGGGTCTACTCCAAATCAGTGAAGATCACTGTTAAGTCCGACGACGGTTTTGAGGTAAGAAAAGTGGTTAGCTGTGCTAGTCTTCTTGCTGTACAACTTTTTCTACATTTGTGACATTGTACAAAAGTTCTACATTTGTGACATTCCCCCAGGTGTGCTGGGCCAGTTTGTTTCAGTAAAGATTGTAGATCTACATTTGTTACAACATAAATGTATGTACATAAATTCTGTACATCTGTGACGTTCTCCCCAGGTGTCCCCAGACTTGGACCAGTTTGTTTCAGTAAAGATTGTACATTTGTGACGTTCCCCCCAGGTGTGCTGCTCCCCAGACTTGGACCAGTTTGTTTCAGTAAAGATTGTACATTTGTGATGTTCCCCCCAGGTGTGCTGCTCCCCAGACTTGGACCAGTTTGTTTCAGTAAAGATTGTACATTTGTGACGTTCCCCCCAGGTGTGCTGCTCCCCAGACTTAGACCAGTTTGTTTCAGTAAAGATTGTACATTTGTGACGTCCCCCCAGGTGTGCTGCTCCCCAGACTTGGACCAGTGCTCCATGACTTCGCATGAGTGGGTTCAAGTCCCCATCGTGTTCAGCACCTCCTATTCCATCACCCTGCAGCTCACGCAGGACTGCTGGGAGAACGTCACGTACATCCGCTACCTGTGGAAGCAGTGGCCCTGCGACTTTAAGGAATGTGCCGTGTACTCTGTGGAAAACGACTTACCCGAGGCGCCGTTCTTTGGATGCATGATGGAACTGAACAAGAAACCTCCCTGCTAGAATAGCAGTGAATGATATCTACTGGTGTAACTTGTAAAATGCTGAAATACTTAGATAATGGTGGCTTACATCTAGTTTGACTGTGCGATTCCAAGCTGAGCTTCAGGCAGAGGAGTCCTGAAGTACTGTAGCAAGATGTGAAATTCAACTGCTACTAATTTGTCTCAACAGCAAACTGTGATATTTACATAATCGTAACATGTATGGAATTCTTTTTATATGATCTTTTTTGATATTAAGAAATGGGGTGTATAAATGCTGCTATTCATTTTGTATTTCATGTACCTCAAAGTCTTGTATAAAATAGATGGTTTGTAAGATATGCAAAAGTGTCAAAGTAAACATTTGTGTGATTTCTTGCTCTGGTATTATGTCAGTGCGTTGTGATAGAAACTCTGCAGCTATTGGAAGAAAAAGAGTGTCACTTGTTTTACTTTCAATTCGTGAACCATTCAACAGAGGTTATTTATGTACTTACACGACAAATATGTCAGAACAAATTTACCAAGCACCATTATTAGAAACAATGTCAACCTGAAACACCCTAGAATTGTTGTGTCTACCCACAGGTATTTATGATAGATTGAGCACATGTACTTGCTACAAAAGATTGCCAACAAAAGATGGTACCATCATGGTTTATCTTATACTGTGACTTGATGGAAATACCGAGCTAAATTAGACTACACAGGCTAAGACATCAATTCTTGAGTATAGTAATCATAGTCAATGTTGCGATTTCATGATTGAGTCGAACCCATACCTTGGTACTTTCTCCACATGATTATAAATTGTTTGTACAAAAATAATGCCAGCATTGCTACGTCCTTCAGAAGAGATAAACGTCCTCAAACTTCTGTTTTCCGGACTCCAGATGCCCTCGCCGCTGTCGGCTCTCCGTCGATCACGGTGCTGAAAGAGGACAGGAAACATAAAAAGTTTACATTCGCAGAAGGAGACATATTGATTTTTCTCTGTTTCTTCTTCCTATTCGTCTTCTCCAAACAAATAAGGTCAATTACCTGAACCAGACGTCTATCACCATGGTAACTAGTGTTGGGTTACATCATGTTGCAATTTTGTAGCAGGAGGGATTTAGACTCCTGTCAATTAACAGAGCAGACCATATGCGAAGGTAAACATTATGCATTTGCTTTGCAAATGTTGTATTCTAAGTGAAACAATGAATGATAATGAAATCGCTTTACGTTAGGATTTTCAAATCTGAGACCACCTGTCATTAGAAATCACTTTAACACTAGAAATATTAACGAGCTTCAGCATTCAAAAGAATAAAAACACGTCACGCAAGAAAACACGATGACCTGAACCATACGAAATCACGTGTGCTAAGGGAATTGTAGTTCGACCTAGAGAAGAGTACGGTACAGAGCCAAAACCTCGTCGAAAATTCGTTGTTGCGTTAGCTTAGTGAACCCAACATGTATGTAAGCTATTTATGACATGAGACCATACCAACCTGTCGACACCGTCGGCCAGTAGAGAGTCTCTCAGTGATCGCAGATCTCCTATCAGCGAGTCGACGTCGACGTCAGATCCGGCGTCTCCGTACATCATCCCCACGGCGAGGTCCGCAACGTCATCGGTACTGAGATCCGGGGATGCGGTAGCACTGTCTTCCTCTGGGGACTTGCTGGATTCCTGCTGAAAAAGAAAACGATTGAACCGTACTGTCGCGGAAAATAGACAGATCCCGAATGTCCATCATCAGAATTAGAAGCTCAACCAATGGGAGAATGGCAATTAGCGGTTCTATCAATGAGAGAGTGGCTACATGTCCGTCAAATATTTGCATTTCTGTGTTCTGGCGGAGGTGGGCGGGGCTTCAGGATCGGACTATTTGAGCCGTGTATTCTTTAACTGTCAAGATTTAGAAGTTTACATCAGTGCAGAACTGGACACAGGAAAACATAAACTGTTGAACAACCCCTCAAGTTCGGTTAAAGGACAAACCAGTATAGTAAGAATTGAAACACTGCAAAACTGTCTAGAGAAACCCCATATAAGTCAATAGTTCCTATCAGAAATTTTAAACTCCTTTACCCATGACTCTCTCTCAGCTTGAGCCCTTTTCTTTGCCAGGGTGACCACCATATTCATGACGACTTCGGTGAACGCTTTTCTGTCCGCAGTAGGCTCGCTGGTAACGCTCCCTCTGGAGGCGCTCCCGCTACTGTGGCAGTGGGCCAGGGCAACACAAACCTCCTCCACCATCTTGGCCGCTAGAGTGCTTATCTGACTGTTCTATGAACCAAGTAAAGGGATGTCAGCATCGAATAGACTACTACTTCGTCCCTAACATGCCTCTCCCACACCTGGAGATCATGCCATGTCTGCGTGATCTCTCCCCGGTTTTATACACACCTGCGTTACTGCAGAAAAACAACTTTAGTAGACCGATCCCGAATGTACGAAAGACCATAGGTACAATTTTTTACCATTTTCGCGCATGCGCGAAAATGGTAACTCAGACGAGATTGAGATTGGATCAACGGATGGATGGATCAACGGTTCCACCCTTCAACGGCCATGCAGACATGCTAAGTCACCGCATGTCGCTAGATGTCGTTGTTGCGACGGCCATGCAGACATGCTGAGTTGCCGCATGTCGCTAGATGTCGTTGTTGCGAGTGCACTTTTTACCATTTATGCCTTGGACGTTTGTATACTTTCCATTATGGTTGCTAATTTCAAAATCATAGTTCTATTAATGTTGCATAACAAAGCTGCTGACAAAACAAACTTAATTTGTCTTGAACAATAACTTGATTTTATTATTTGCCAAAAATGTTGATAAAGACATGTCTATAGACATGTCTATAATCACAGTAATCAAGGATTTTAATAAACTGCATAAATTATGTCAATGAGCATTAGCAGTGTGGATTAGTCTAGATGTTCAGATTTCCATTAGCCGGCAGTCCAGAGGGTCACACGTCCGACCAATCAAGGCGCTGCAGGCAAAGCTTATTAAAAGCCTCCTTTTCAGGCGTTCCCGGATCGGTGTTTTTGTGTGTGTGTGTGTTGGGGGGGGGGTGTATTTTCTGACCAAACGTAGATCGCACGCAATAGAAGCTCCGGCCTACATAGCTGTCCGTGGAACTATTGATATTACCTGGGTGCCTAACTTTCACCAACATGTCTTTTGTATTTTAGGAAATTAATTAATTAATGAGTGAGTGTTTAATTAACTTAAATAGGTATTGCATTGTTTGGCAAGGTATTTTCCATTGACAATTTTTAATGGATCAGGTTGATCAAATGATATAATGTAAACAATTATATATGATTAGTAAAAGATGACTTTTGAAGTTCTCTTCGAGTATCATTTTAGGGTTGAATCAGGGTCAACGCGAAAAAAAATCATGATCCGGTGATCGACATCATGCCCCCCCGCACACTTCATGTATTCGGTGTTCTAAATACCCGTCTTCAGTCTGCAATTTGCAGATAGATTTTCAAGATTTCAGGATAAAAATTACACAATCTGCAATTTGAAGAATGAAAAAAAAACTATGGTCCTCACAACTTCATATTCCCTTTGTTTGACCCGCCCGGCGCCCAAATCCCGCTGCGATTCAAGCCGCGGCGGCTTCCCGAGCCATGCAAATAAACCTAGTCCTGACGCCACAGCCTCCGATTTCCACCGAGCCAGCCCCGAGCGCATGCCGACAGCGAGGGATGTGGCTCAGATTTCCGACGATTTCCTTATTTAGATCAGAAGACTTCGGGTAGCAAACAAAATGGCCGCCATGCACATGATTTTATACTAGTAGCTTCGCTTCTCAACCGAAATGAGGAAGTTTAACCTCATTTGCAGACTTTAGCGGCCATGGAGTTGATTTGGGGAAGTGCTGAGACGCGATTTCGCTACGGCATATGGGATTTTGCCGCGGAGGGAGTTACGTACGCCGGCAAAAACTTGCTTCAGCCATCGGCTCCAGAAAATTTATCTTTATGCTGCCGCTCAAGTCTTCGAAGGTGGTTTAACGAAGTTTATATAAATAATAAAGCCACTTTGCGTAGATCGATCTCCGTTTTCTTGCGATGGTATGAAAATTCAAGTACAGTATATTTTCAAAACGTTTGATATTTCTTTGTTCGTTGCCACATGTTGTTTATTTATCTTATTGTCATGTACAGTTACCAGCGTGAGTCTGAGTCGAGCCATTGTTCTTATGTGGCCGTTAGCACATGTTGTTTAAACAGACAGCAACATTGAAGAAAAGAACCGAGTTAACAGACATCGGCACGTTCCTTGAAGTCAGGTTTCCCGCCGTATTTAAATAAGAAATGTGTGGGCCCGCGGCGTTTTGAAAAGACGCGACGCGCTTTGGAAAGACCCCGCGCCGTGGCTCATTCAAATTCGCTACATTTTTTGCTAAGTTTAATGTCTTCACCCACGATTTTTGACCGTCAATGTTGACGGTAAGGATTAGATTTTTACCGTCCGACGGGAAAAAATACCGTCAATCGACGGTAAAACGGGCGCTGGCTAAAGCCCTGGTTGAATGTCACGAGGTTTGTAAACTTAGATGTTGGGGACAAGCCATAGAAGAGATTTTGAATAAAATTATATATATATATATTAACGTTACTTATAATTTAAGTTAAAATGTACTTTTGTGTCTCATTTTTTTATTCTGTTAAAAAGACTCTTAAAAGAGAGAAAACAGGTTATAAACTGTTATATACTTGATTTTTGTAATGTTTTAAACTTAAAGAGTTGAAATATAGAAGTGCATGTTCTCTCATTATATACAATGTTGATAAGAACTAGAACCATTTATATAACTTAGGTAAATTGAAATGCTAGGATGGGGAAAATGTTCGTAAAAACTGTAAGCCTGTAAGCGGCGAAAATGGTCAGCTTTTGCAGAAGCACTTGTTTTCTTGTGTGTGTATTTCGAGTTTCCATGGGTACTTCGAGTTTCTATAAGTACTTAGAGTTTCTATGGGTACTGATATGGTTCCTTATTCAATAAGCATTCTCACCAATGAAATCACTGATGAAGTAGACCAGGTGGACAGATCTGAAGACGTTCTCAGTGGATCGACTCGGACGTCTTCCTTCATCTCAGCCATCAACTTCCTCAAGAGGCCAGTCAGACGTCTTTCCTCCTCCAAGGCTCTTCTCATCATCTTCTCGGTCTCCGTCTCCAGTTTCTCCTCCTCCCCCTCTGACTGTGGATCCACCGTTCCCATCTCGACATCGTCGGCTTCTTTTGCTCTTCCTCTGATTTTATCAATGATGTAGGACAGGGAGGGAAATTTGTGTGCCTGTCTACCATGCGTTTTTTGACTAATATCTCTGTTATGCGACGCCTTTTCCTTCGCCTTTAACCAAACCGCGTACTCTGATAGAAGAGATCTCTTCTTGTGATGACCAGAATCATTTCGTTGGGCACATGTTTCCGCGTATTGTTCCTGAACAGTTTTAGGGTGTAGTTTTGTCATCATGCGTTCCAGAATGTTCATATCGGTTCTCGCTTTGGTCTCAGGTTGTTCTGGAATGTACAGTGGCTGTTCTCTGTAAGAATCGTTGCCATCCTCACCTGACAACGCCAAGTCGAGGGAAGACATGGCGTTCAGAAAACATACCACGTCGAGCGAGAGCTTCTTTTCTACTTCTGATGGAGCCTCGGCCTTGCAGTGCAGAGTCACTCTGTCCCGAAGATAATTTAGGAGGCGGTCGAGGAGGCCTGCCACCATGTCTCGGAGATCTTTCATCGAAGTGAGGAAGACGTCTCGCGGGGTCACTGTGCCATCCTGCCGGGTGTCCAGTGACAGGCTCTCGGTGCTGACAACGTGTGCCAAGCAGGAGACCATGGGCTCGTGCAGTGGGCCGTCCGGCTCCAGGACTGTCGCCTGGACCCATCGCCACTGCTCGTCAGTTGCGTCGGGAAGGGTAGCTTCTGCATCCCCGGGTGGAGAGCCACTGGTACCGGCGTTCGAGGCGGGAGCATCCGCTTTTTGTGATAATGTCATGAGTGTTTTGTCCATCAGAGGCGGCACATTGCTGAGGCGTTCGTAAAAACTAGACAACCGTGCAACAGCGCCCTCTGTATAACTGCACGCGCCGTCCTCAGAATCCTGTTCTTCTCCACTGAGACGGTATGATGACACCTCGGGATTTTCAGCGTTCAGATCCGATGTTTTTGGCGCAGCGTTCTCCTCGCTCCTTCTACGCTCTTGTTTATGTTTATCCTCTGAACGTTCTGGAAACCTATATGCCATTTCGCGGGCGTTTTGTCCACCTCGTACCTCTGAACGGCGAGCGGCGCTGGCATTTCTTGGTTCCGTGGACTTGACGGCTAACTTTATCGGTTGTCTCATCAGAGGGGGTGCGTTGGATAACTTCTGTACCCAGCTGGCGTCGTCACTTTCGTCGCTCGGTTTTTCCCACCACGCCTCTCCGTTCCCCCTGCTGGACTCGTCCATGGAGAGGTCTGAGATGTCCGCAGCGAAGGAGTCTTGACTCTCGGACTCCACGACCCTGTCGGGGTACTCCTCAGACGCGAACACGGTCGGGTTGTCCCGGCCTCTCGGCGCTCGTCGGAGCACTTCGTCCGAACGTGGCGGTTTCATCTTCCATAGTGCGAGTTGAATTCTTACGTCATAAAGGAACAAGCAAATGTAGTTATAGTGCAAAAAGGTCACAATGGTTCGACTTTCAGTGTTACATTGTTGCGGATTGTTACGTTGAAACAATCGAAATGATGACCACGTCATTTTCTCCCTTGTTTTGATATTTGAATAGGCCCAGACACATCAAGTCCACCCGTATCCCTACCGTACAGTTTGAATAAGTAAAATCTTCTGAGTGCAGCGATATATCTATGATAAGTCTGGTAATCATAGCATTGGTTTGATACTTAACCATCCAGCAGCAGTTTTATAGTAATCAGAAACGTTGACATAGCATGCATAAGACCAGGGGATGTGCATTCAAACTCATTTCAGCGAGACAGCTAATGGATAGTTGTCAATGGAACACAAACCCATAGGCAAATTTGCTAGGTGTCGATGTGATCCCATTACTTCAACAGCCAATGAGATGGCTGGTATCACATCTCCAGGTATGTGATCAGGTGAGCACACAGCAGCCACGCCCGTACCGATTTCCCTGGCGTTAACCGACACCACATGCACAGCGTCCTCGTTTGAAAAGTGTCTTGAGATCGACCAAGACTGACTCTACGTGTTCCTGTGTAGACATGTAGCAACAAAACATCCATGACGCCTTCACTGAGACTCTGCTGCCCCCCAATCTTGCACAGGGACGCCAGGAGCTGAATAAGGTAGACAACTCTATCCTCTATTTCTTCTTCTATCTACTAGACAGTATTTCCAGCTTATAACACCCGAGGAAAAGACAGGAAGACGGGTATTTCCAGCTTATAACACCCGAGGAAAAGACAGGAAGACGGGTGCGAGGTACCAAACGTTGAAATAAATGCATATGGTATACTACAATGGCTTTTCTCAAATCTCAAGAAAAAGCCCCAAGCATCCACTTACCGATTTAGCTTGTACTATACACAGCTTCCTACTGTCTTACTCAGGTGATTGTTTTCAAGTCTGGAATTTTGTTATGTAAAGATTGCTCGTTTGGACCGTGGTTGCTCTTGGTACATCCCATTCTATGAACAATCTTTTGCACACATATCAATGAACCACAGGAGTGAGAGATAGTTACTGGAAAATATTCATTTCTGCAGAATATCTGTTGTGAGTTAGAGCGGTATGAGAGGGAAGTCAGTCCTACTGGCGGTGTTGTGGCCATGGCGGCTGCTGACGTCACTGGTCCACCTGACATCTACCGCCGCGATGTTGACGCTGACGCTGGTCGCGTCTCTGATGCACGCCACTTCTGTCTTCACCATGCTGCCCTACACACTACTTCACCATGCCATGCGTCCTGTCGGGTTCTTCTGGGTTTCAACGTCGGCAGTAGATGGGCCTCGGCAAGGGAAACGGTTTCAGGATATAGAGGATAACAACAATCTACAGAAGCGCCCAGAGATCTGCACTTCACAACAGTTACTACGCGTAGGGAAGTGTGTGCTAGGTGCCCCACGGTGTATGTTTGGTACGGCTTGTTCTGTCACACGTCATGGCTTAACAGCGGCTACAAACCTCGCCTTCTACTACCCTGTTGTCGTTCCTGCACGGGCAGTTGTATCTACTACGACAAGGGCCGTCACTGGGCTGACGGGATACCTGTGGCCTACCTCCCCAGAGCAGCAGCTCGAGGTACGGGAAGCTCGTCCACAGGACATGGCGAGAGTCGCAAAGATGCTCGAGCATGACCGTGCGAGACTTCTGCTACCTGCACAGCTCCATATCCTGTCCATGCCTGGTAGGTTGTACTTTTTGTTGCACATAGTTGTTAGACAGGGCCCTTCAAACATTAAAGAGCTAAATAGAAACTTTATTTGCAAAATCATGCCCGAAGGCTAATTGCTTTTACAATCAAGTATGATACTCATTGCAATACAGTAAAAGGAGACAGGTAACAACTGTCTGGAAAAACTTCTACTTCTACTACTACGCTAGCTATTATGGGGTTCAACTTCTTGAAGTCAATGGATAATGAATACTCCCACATTCTGCATAATTAGTGGGTTTTGTGATCTTAGTAGAAATGCAGTCTTTTGGTGATCTTCTAAATGACGAAATTATGAGGATGGAGAATTGTTGTAACTGTCTGGGTTTTTTTTAATATAGAAACTTTATAGGGCGCTTCAAATGGTTAGTCTCGATCGCAACAAGACACATAGACAGTGTCTTTCAACATCCTCTGAGCAAGAGAATTTATTCAGCAGCTACATCATGCTGGCTATATGAATCTTAATGTCTTGGTTAATTGGTTTACTCTTTGTCATTATGCCGCTCATACTCATACTGTTTTCTTTTCCACAGGTAGCTTTACAGCAATGCTTGTGATCGGTGGAGTGATCAACAGCCTACTGCACAGCGAGCTGGTCGCCATCCTAGCGGCTTTACCCCTCTGGGTGGGCGTCATGCAGGCCCAACTGAGCAGTTACTGGACCCAGGAACAGGAACGAAGGAACGATGAGGGGTATGGAATGATGTATGAGATTAGCACAGAAGGGTGTGTAATATTTTGGTCTTCATGATGTCTTCTTTGAATTCAATTGCTGTAATACCCGATTGCTTACTATGTTTATTGCACAAAATATAAAGCCTCCTTCGCAGACTTATGAGGCGGCGGTGTTAATTTTTAGGCGGTTTGGCGGCGAAACCGTCTCTCCCCGGCAAAGTCCCTCGGCGGCAAAACCGTCCCTCCGCGGCATGACTTGCTTCGCTCCTAGCCTCCTGTGCAGGCCCCGCGGCGGTGGAGAAGAGTTTTTCTCCGTGGGCGGAAAGCAACCTTCTCTCGTCGGCTATGTAGGATGGCCGGCTATATTAAAATAATGCGTTAAAAACTCTTCTCCACCGCCGCGGGGCCTGCACAGGAGGCTACTTCGCTCCCCGAAAAACAAATTAACGCTACCGCCCCAAAAATCTGCGAAGGAGGCTATAAAATACATGTACATGTCATTTTCAGAAGTCTGTCCCGGTACCTCGTGGCCGTGTACAAGAGCCGAGTCCAGGGAGTCGTCAGGCTGGTGTCACCCGTGGGTGATCAAGGAGATCACCCGGTCATCAAGGAGATCATCTGGGTAGAGAACGAGAGGTTTGACGTGCCAGGTACAGGCGTATTTGTCACTCGGACATTGTAAGAGCTACTAAACATGATAAAGTCTGTATCTTAAATGAAGATTGCATGTACATACTGATTTGAGATATTTGGTACATGCGAGGGGACCAATTCTGTATCAACTGACCCTGCGACATAGATGGTTACATACTAGTACCTCTCTAACTACTAGATGGTTACATACTAGTACCTATCTAACTACTAGAACGGTTGCAACACTTTGCGTTCTTATCGCTTAGTGGCCTTTTCTCTAGAACTGTTGCAATATTTTGCCTTCTTACCGCTTAGTGGCCTTTTCTCAAGAACGGTAGCAACACTTTGACCTCTTACCGCTTAGTGGCCTTTTCTCCTTTTTTTATGTCCGTGTAGGCGAGCTATTGAAATCTGCCGAGTCGTACAGTAACAGCAAAGGGGAGATCCGAGCCACCCTGTCCGAGCTGGAGACCGACAAGTTAGGGACGCTGACCGCACACGGGTTCCGCCTTACACACACGTGCACAGCGCTGAGCATCTTCCCCGGAATAGAGTTGGAGAACTACGAGCTATCCAAGAACGTAAAGTACTAATAATCTCCTGCTTACGTTCCACCTTTTTTGGCAAATAGATCCTAGACTGTCATACGAATGGCGTACTACGTATACGTACTGCACCAAACGCTCAATGATTATGATTATGACGTTTCAAACGGACGTAATATTGTTAGCTATCATTTAATCTTTCTTTTCTTCCATGATGAGCAGAAATAAGACCATCCACGACAGTTGATATATTTATTTTCCACTTCCATGTATCCATGTATTAGTATTGTAGCACAGCTTAACCACAGCCATACACACGGTTTTCATCGCAGTTAGTGATCGCAAGAGAATGCATTCCGAAAGAATAACAAACTTCTATTGATTATCATACAATAAAAATAAGATGCCGTGGATGTGAAGATCACCTTATACGTTCAATCATTCATTCGAACTTCAATACTTTAGTAAACCTGACCACATTCAATAGGAATATTTACATCTTTGAAGTTGTTAACGTAACGCTTACAACTACGTGAACCACTCAAGGGCAAGAATAATGGAACGTCGTTATTCACGCATTGATGACACACAGTTACACCACCCGAAAGTCATCTGTAACTATAACGATCCAAAGCGAAGTACTACACAACGACAGCAATGTCTGAGCCATGTGTACTTTCACGAGACGTCTTTCCGTCTTTGGGACCCGGAGGGCTGCCTTTCGGGGCCTGCGCCTGAAGCGCCTCTGTGACTTGCGTCCGCACGGTTTTGGCGAGGTCTTTCCTAAGAAGCTGCGCGATCATCGCGGCGTCGGAGCCGCTGCCGCTAGACGCTTTCCCGGGAGAACTGGTGGACGTGCCCGGGCGTGACGCCGGCTGGTACTGGTCCAGGAGGTCGAATCTCAGGCTCGAGATGTCCTGCTTAATTTCCTCTAGTTCACCTACAAGGAAAAATCATGATATTACGTTTGGAACAATTCCACATTGCAACACTTTTACAATTATGATTGAAGCTAATAGCAAAGTTCTTTGATCACAACCATTTATTTTTCACGATAAATGGTTGTGATCAAAGAACTTTGCCTTTCATTCGTTTACCAACCTGATGAAATTATTTACGGATGATTGAAGCGATTTTAAAACTTCAACTGAAGTTTAGCTCTTCAATATTGCCATTGAATAATCAAACGATATCAAAATGAATTCGAAAACGGACCTTCGTTGATTTCATCGTTCTCCTTGTCCTTCTGCAACTTAAAGATGTACCTGGTCACGAGTCTTCTCATGACGGTCTGAAAAGCAAAGAAATCATATCAATCTACGTTTTGTCTGGGTAGAGAAAAACTGAGTGGAAAGTTTTAACTTAGTGACACTGCAAATCTGCTCTCAATCTACCAACTGCATAGTATGTAATTCCATATGCCATTCCTCATTAGCTACTAAGATAAGATGGAAAATGTAAAGGATTGTGCAACTTGTGAGTATGATATAGTACATGTTTGGTTTGGTTTGGTTTTCCTTTAATGCCCACGATCATGATAATGATCATTCTGGCATACTCATTTTCACCTGAGGGAAGTGATGAAAGTAGTGTAAAGTGCCTTTCCCAAGGGCACAAGGATGGTGACTTGGCAGGATTCGAACTCGGGACCTCTTGGTTCTGAGCCGAACGCTCTATCGTTACACCACACCACCCCACATGTATATATGTAGTGTTGTAGACTAGACATAACAAAGATACAGTAACACGTCTTGTCAGTCCAAAGACAAGGTTCCGAGCTTTAATTCACGTTACATGAAAGGAATGTACATGAAGTAGTTACAGGGATACTGACACAAGAATTCGTTTGAAGCTTACCGTGTACTTGGATTCCCTCACTCTGGACCTGGAGAAAACATTGTTTACTTGCGCTTGGTGTCGCTGTAAAAAACGAGAAAAATATTAGCACTAATGCGTTTGAGCGGAATGTTTGCGGATGCGGACTTTTTTCCAAAACAGTGCCACCATACGTAGTTGCCAGCGCATGCGCCAAAACACCTCCACCAGCTTCAGCTTTTACTAAGAAGATCCCCACAAAACAAGACAGTAACGTTACAGAGAACAACAAGAATTCCGAGACTTCATACCTCCATGAAATATGGGCTTGATATGTAAATGTAAATTTCCTCTTTAATTATGCAAATTACCTCCGCATTAACATGATATATGCATCGTGATGTATGTTAACTTTTGATTAACTTACAGATGTCCAAAGTATGACATTCCCATTATTCACCATTAAGAAATCATAGAATGTTTGCATAAATTATGCAAATTAGGTCATCATTTGCATAATTAGTATCTGTTCGTCATGTTCTGCCTGCCATAGGTTACATACATTACATGTATGAAAGTAGTATAATGTAAAACACTGTAATCATAGAATTTCCTCATTAATTATGCAAATGAAGTCCTCATTTGCATAATTTGCATTTAATCATGTACATCTCTCTCTTAGCTACCTACACACCAAAAATTATGAAAATACGTTGTTCCTATCTGGACTTATTGGCTTTTAAACATTTCGCCAGAAAGTGCCCTGCAGTTCCAAAACAAGCTGCTAGGGGGACCAAACTCACACCACTTATTCTTGACAGGAAAAGCAATCTGTCACCAAAACATCAAGACCATAGCATGTTCAGGACAAAAGATACAAAAACCGGAAGTTCTGCTGCAGTACCAAGGTCATCCACCAGGAGGCCCATATTTGACCTTGACGTTTGTCTTCCTAAGACTAACCAACAAACCAAATATCATCATAATCCATAAAGGCGTTCTGAAGTTATGCTGACCACAAAGTTGCGGAAACACAGACAGACAGACAGACAGACACACAGACACACACACATACATACATACATACATACAGACAGACACGCCAAAAACAATACCTCCATTTTTCATGGAGGTAACAACAACAACAACACAGAATCACAGGGACGTTCTAAAACAATGATCGTGTCAAACATCTCTGTTTTTCCGTGTCACTGTGCTGTTCGTTACAAACGGGCAAGCTTTTAATACTAGTACTAATAATGTGTAGGTTTCTGGGCGGATGGGAGTTTTGATACTGCGTTTTCTGGGGTTTTTAACGCGTTTTTTTGCCGACCATCCTACAACCAGCCGCCAAGAGAAAGTCTGCACCCGCCCGGAGGCCTGCACAGGAGGCTAGCCATTGTACACATCAAAACATGCAATTGGGCTTCCTTGCCCCGATTTCAAACCCCACCACCGGTTCAGCACGGGTGTTCTAGAGACTACAGACTAGGTGTGAAATCCCTTGCGTCGTTTTCCCACCTTTTCACCTGTACTGTCATAGTAAGCCTGTTGGCGAGAACGACAAAACGTCGAACATGTCAGACTTTGGGTAACACAAGCGTTAGTCACATTGACATTGTGTGCGACACAGTTGTTTTTTTTGCGTTAGTGTTTGTTGAACATATTCTATACGGAGAAAAATTAATCCGATGTAAAAGAAAAACAGTGTGAACCAATAGATCTCTAAGCCACCAACGGTCCACAAAAGAAGCAAGATAGCACTTACTTATATAATTATATAACTAATTGACCTGCATCAGCAAATGTTAGTACATGTAGTATATGGTTAAAAACCCGAGGCTTACCCATCTGACCAGCGCCTTGATGGGGATGATCGTGCCGTTAATTGAAGGCGCTTCACCGGAGTTCTCGTTGGCCCGTATGTCCACACTGGAGAGGTTCCTGTGCCTCTTGCACTTCTTGCACTTCTGCTTCAGCCACTTGAAACCTCTGTTGATACAAGGTGACAATTGGTAAAACTGCTCAGAATACTAATCTGTACAGTAAGACTTTTCAAGTAGCATCCACTGCTTTTCCACTGCTTTTCGTGTTTTCAAACTCTATCCAGTTTCTTGAGTAACTGTTTTCTTGTGTACAAACAACATTAGAAGAATTTAACAGAATATTTCTCCATTGTACTAAACACTATCAACATACAAGAACGTGTCCGTCCCTGGTGCTGAACGCCATCCCCATGAAAGTTAACACTGCGGAGTTTTGTATGTTCAAGGGGTGTGTTTTAATGAAAAGATTTACCACTGTGTAATGAAAAAACGAGGGAGATGTGCTTTTTCATAGATACACACTTACTTGTACACCCCTGACGGCGTGGGGACGAGGTTGAACGGGAAGGGCGCCACGGAGATACCTTTGCCAAAGTACAGCATGTAGAGTTTAGCACGGGAGAACTTCCACTCCACGTCCGAGTCCGCCTGCAGTTAACAAAACAAAACAAAACAGAAAGAAATTCTTTATATTGTTTTACTTCTCCTTTATGGCCTGGGGTTTACTATGTCGAATGCTTTATTCTACATAGCCTCCAGAGCAAACTTTCTAGCGGCAGCGTCTTTTCGGCGGAGAAGCTGTATTTTGGGGAGGGATATATCCGGGGACTAGCTGTTTAGGCTCTCCCCGAACTGCCACGCTCTAGCAACAAACTGCCTGCTAAAAGGTCTCGGACCGGAGTTTCCTTCCGTGTTCGGAGCCTTGCCCCCACTCGTAGCCCTCCCTGATCTTGCCCCCACTTGTAGCCCTCCCTGATCTTGCCCCCACTCGTAGCCCTCCCTGATCTTGCCCCCACTCGTAGCCCTCCCTGATCTTGCCCCCACACGTAGCCCTCCCTGATCTTGCCCCCACTCGTAGCCCTCCCTGATCTTCCCCCCACTCGTAGCCCTCCCTGATCTTCCCCCCAACTCGTAGCCCATGCCCGCTAGATGCCTGCACAGGAGGCTAGTTCTGCGTACACACGTTAGACCACTTGTCCAACATATCCAAAGAAAGGAATACTTAGGAGACGAGAAGGAACTGCTTGTACTGACCGTGATGTGTTCGTACGACTTGTTCATCATGGCGATGAGCATGTTGAGGAGGACGATGATGGAGGCGACGTTGTACAGCCCGAACAGAAACCAGCCTACCCTCTCCACCAACTCCTGCTCCACCCCCGGGACAATGGTAGGGTCCGAGTCCAGCTCAACCATCCCGAACAGCGACCAAAACAGCGTCCTGAAGGCCTGGTACCAACTGGGGTGGAACAACGTTGGCTTAGCTTTAGTTATGTTGACCGAAGGAAAACATTGTTTTTGCTCAGTTTCCTCTTCTCCAAACACAAAAGGTTAATGACCTGAACCAGACAGTCTATCACCATGGTAACTGGTGTTAGGTTACATTATGTTGCAATTTCATAGCTGGAGGGATTTAGACTCCTGTCTGACTATATATCTGAATGTGTTTGAGTGAGAATTAACAGAACAGACCATATGTGAAGGTAGACATTATGCATTTGCCTTGCAAATGTTACCTTTCTGGTTTTGAACTTCTTCAGTAATGCTGCATAGGATGGTTGCGCTACCACACAATGCAAAGACATCAGGAAAGAAGAAATATTGCTCTGAGTTCAATAAAGGTCTAGTACTACCCGCTGATGTTAAAGAAGCGGTTAAATTCTAAGCGTGGTTATCGTGGCCTACCGGAAAGTGACGTCGGTACAGTACAACTTGCATGTACATGACATATTATAGGTTGCGTTGTAACAGCCACATATCATTCGAACAATACATACAGGACTTACTCAATGAAACCAAAGCTCTCCACCGGTCTCCCCTCTAGCGTGTAGTAGTTGTACAGGTTGAACAGACCCATCCAAAACGCAACGAAGATGACGAAGAAGATGATGATAAATCTAATGATATCTCCCATCATACGTCCCAGCGATATCTATACAAAGAAAGACAAAAAAACGAACACTTGTGTAAGCCATTTTCTCTAGCATTTGAAGGAAAATTTGAAGTTGAAATACAAAAAAAATCGGAGATATTAAGTTCTTGATGTCCTGAATTCCCCCATGTCGACCACTAATTCCTGATTGCTTCTGGTCAGATTCTGAGACCTTAACGTTCACCCCATTTCCTTAGTCAGACCTTTTGGCCTCCTGTCATGCTGCCTGTCAATCTCACCCTCTTTCAATCCACGTGCTGTCAACCCTACTCTGTTTGGACTAACAGATACAAGAACCCATGACACAGCTCAGCCACCCAAAACAATTATCAAAATGTGCCGTCACCACGTCTTGTGATTAGATGTTGGAATATCTAAAAAAAATCATCAGAATCATTAACTTGTTGTCTACGAGAATGTTCTTGGAAGGCGATGCAAATTTCCGTGTCGTAAACGGTCGTCGCCTAAACCGAACGGTCGTCGCCTTTTCTCAGAACGGTCGTCGCCTTTCCGAACGGTCGTCGCCTTTTCTCAGAACGGTCGTCGCCTTTACGAGCAACACTTCTGAGAAAAGGCGACGACCGTTCGGAAAGGCGACGACCGTTCTGAGAAAAGGCGACGACCGTTCGGAAAGGCGACGACCGTTCTGAGAAAAGGCGACGACCGTTCGGTTTAGGCGACGACCGTTTACGACACGGAAATTTGCGAAGGCGATCCCCGGCCTAACGCGTCTTCAATCCTTCCGGATGAAATGTTGCACCTCTCGCCATGACATCACTTACCTGTAGCGGGCCGAGTTCCTCGCTGATGGGGAAGTTGATGAAGACCCTGCAGAAGGCCATGGTACAGCCGACAGCGAACAGGCACTCCGACACCAGCTTGGGATCCTCTCCGAGCCATGTTGTACGGTCTGGACTCAAACAGAGCATTATAATGAAATAATGATAATAATGATAATAATGATAATAATGATAATAATGATAATAATGATAATAATGATAATGATGATAATGATGATAATGATGATAATGATGATAATGATGATAATGATGATAATGATGATAATGATGATAATGATGATGATGATAATGATGATAATGATAATAATGATAATGATAATGATGATAATGATAATAATGATAATAATGATAATAATGATAATGATGATAATGATGATAATGATGATAATGATGATAATGATGATATGATGATAATGATGATAATAATGATAATGATAATGATAATAATGATAATAATGATAATAATGATAATAATGATAATAATGATAATAATGACAATAATGACAATAATGATAATAATGAATTTATTGGAACTTTCGTTCTATGCTCCACATTAGATTTTTCAGAAGTACAAGCATAATGTGTGTATGTATATATGGCGGCGAATGCTATATTAGAGTTTGGCTGTCAAAGTTTCAAAGTAGGTCTGTGTAGAGATAGAACAGATAGTCCAGTCCGACAAAATGTCCTCGTATTGAGAATTCTGCAAAAAGTATCGTTTTATATGGTGGTCAAGTGCACGCGTGGTGTGAGTGATGAGGACTCACCTGAGTCCAGGAACCGGTAATGACCCCACACTGTTATACGGTCTGCGGCTCCTTGGACTGTAGCAATACTCTCAGCTCCGGTCACGTTAAAGAACGCTCTAGCCTGGAAAACACGTAGTCAGCCATTAGCCATCAGATTATACAGTACGACAACGGAATAATAAACATGTTATGACAAAGCCGCTGTCGACGGTGCGAAAAAAGCCTACTCAACTACTCAATATTTCTGACTAGCCGACTAAATCCGAAGTTGGAGGGGGAGACCGTTACTTTCTGATTTTACCCGCTGTCTGACAGGAACGGCTGTCAGAAGCCGGGTAAAATGAACCTCCCCTTTAACCTCTGCTTGGATAACATAAATATGTAGACCAATCTAAATATGCCCATCACAATTAGAAGTTCGACCAATGAAAGAAGGGTAATAAGCGGTTCGACCAATTGCATTTCTATGTTTTGAAGGAGGTGGGCGGGGCTTCAGGATCGGTCTATACCTCGGCTGTTTTGATGTGCGTGGCGACGTCCAGGACGTAGCACGTGACCAGGAAGATGGACATGAAGGTGTCGTACGCGTTCCACTTCTCGCGAGAGAAGCTGGTCCAACCGATGAACCACAACAGCCGGCACTTCATCAGAACAAACCCTGAAAACAAACAAAACAACGAAATTAAAAGTGTCCTATCGTAATGCTAAGAAGGTACATGCCCATAATCTTTTTTTAAAGCGGAAAATTTTACAGCAGGAGTGATTCTGTATCTGTATCAGCATAGCCGGTATAACCGTCCCTCTGTGTAACACACCGGCTTCACAGGCACGCGGCGCGGCGGCAGCTGGCAATATTACACCGAACGACTTGTTACACCTAGCCTTTGAACATCTAGACATCTAAATATTGTGTAAAGCTATCTAGTGAGGATGCCACCACTGTACTTGGTGTTCCACTCTGCGATACTTCTAGGGAAAAAAATGATTGTTAGCTACCTGCCACAAACAGCATCAGGGTGATCTCCAGCCAACTGGAGATATCCGGACGCAGCACGATGGAGGACGGCAGGCGGTACTGAGAGATTACAGCCGGGTGGACCGTGATGTTCGCGCCTGGGACTGTGGGGGAAGTGACATATCGCACAGAACGTGCATAATTAGCATAGAGGCACGGTCATTTAGGCCCTATTCCCAATAGGATAAAATTGTCTAGATCGAGCCGAATTGATTCGCTTTGATCCGGCTTCGATCCAGCTCGGAGCCGGATCTTCGAGTGTACCCCGTTCCAATTCTCCCTTTCCCTAATCTCCCCTGCCTTACCTCACTGCCAACTGTGCGCCTTTTATACTAGTATTCTTACCCTTATTTGCATACGCACTCATTTGCATAAGTATCCTGATTCGTCGATGTATGGCATATGCATATAGATTAGCATATGCACAATGATTCTTAAAGCGTAAGTTATCTGCAGTACATATATTAGATATGATATATATTAACATATATTAGATGAAGAAGTAGAATTCCGTACTTTGGCCCACTCCTGCCGACTGTACGATCAGCAGCGCCAGGAAGATGAAGTAAGAAGCTGCAAACAGCGAGAACTTCATCAGGGGGCGCTTCATGAAGGTGCCGATCTGTGGAGAAAAAAAGAAAGAACCGTCACATTCATTGTCTTGTCAAACCACATGTATATGAAGACATAATCCGTTAGTGTTCCTTTCTCAAAAATACCGCAGTGAAGTAATCGTAGGGATTGTCCGTCGTTGGTACAGAGTCTTTGTCGTCTGATGGCTGATGGCGATGCCCAATGTGAAAACGCATTGAATAGCACTTTCAGGGTCTTCCAGTACTCGAAATTACCCTTACTAAACCTAAAGCACACTTTCCACAATGTCCCAAGGGTTTCCTGGAATTTCACTACGTAGGAATGTGGGCATAAATGTTTGTCAGCAAAATCCCAGAGATGTGAGACATTCCTGTGGACATTCCATTCCTGTGGATAAGATGCCTGTACAATTCCTAGAATTCTTGCAAACACAATAATTCGCCATTAGGCTCCCCCCTGAGGCGTCGCCAAAAATAACTGTTTCTGATATAGGGCATTTAGACAAAAGCTGTGAGCTGTAATTATCAGTGCAATGCATTTCTCTGTCATCCCACTTCATTTCAGAGGGAAACTAGCTCACACTAGCTCACACAACTTCACCGTCCAAATAATTCCTTGTTCGATATCTTTTTTACAGTGACAGTTTCTTTCCCCTTACGGCCAAGCTTTGGAATTCCCCCATTACGCGGAAGTGTTGACAAGTGTTTCCCACCAACCTACAATCTACAGGCTTTCATATCAAACGTTCACCGCCATCTCTTGACATAACCATGTTTCTCTCATATTTCTAGTTCAATGACGAGAAGTGGTCGCATAGGCCTTGCATTGAACTACTCCGTTAAAAAAAGACTTGTACGTGCTTAATCCTCATATGTATATATCGCTTACAAACTTTTTAAATATCTATAGGCTTTTATTAAATTTTAATGCGTCTTATTAAGCACACTTAGACATCTTTAATGTAATTATTTATTGTATATACACTGTATGTAAACAGACCTGTCAATTCAGCCTTTAGGCTGCTATAAGGCTGTAGTATGAAATAAACTTCAAACTTCAAACCTTACCTTGCTGTTCGGGGCGAGCCAGTAGCCCAGCATCAGTAGAGGTAACATGGCGGTGACGACGATGAACATGAAGAGTTTTATGATGAAGGTCGGTCTGGAGGTGGGGGCCGTGGTGTACCACAGGTCGTACAGAGGCTGCTGGCAGTTCGGATGTGACACAAACTGGAGGAACAAAACATGAACAGATTTGTACGGTTTCGGCACGCAAAAAAAAGATGTTAGAACTTTTCAAGAACCTGTTCTTAACTATGACGTCACATTGCCAAACCGGGGTCTGGCCGGGCAGTCTTATGGAACAAAACGACAACAAAGCTTTAAAAAGTTTAAAAAATTAAAATGGGAACTATTTGCGTATATCATCAATATAAATTTTAATTTTTCGTTAATTGAAATAGCCCGACCGGGAACCGGTTTGGAAATGAGGTGACCTCGGCATTAGCATGGTTGCTCTCGCGAAAAAAAAAACTGTTGCTGAAATACACGAAGTTCCTAATGAGTTCAAACGTCACAGCATAGGATACAGGAAAAGTCCATGTCCTAAACGTAAAAAAAACACAAATTTATTCACAACGTCTGGCACCTTAAGTACATTTTTTTCAACGACACCTTGAGAATTATGCAGAATGTTAACTGGACAACTCGCTCACCCTTTTCTGCTCGTAGCGAATGGCTAGTTTGATCCGAGGTAACAACAGCATGTCATCGTCAAGATCCACGGACTCGGCCTCCGCTTCGCCCTCCTCCTGGTCCCCGGGTTTCTTATCCTCCCAGGGCTCGTTCAGAACGGTATTGATTTCGTCTAGAGTTCGACACTGATCCAGCAGATCCACGGCATACTGTTCACACTGCTTGAACAACGTGGTATACTCATTCTGCAAACAAAATGATGATATTAAAAAGTTTAACAAACGTTATCCTTCAGATAATTCACAGTCGCCCAAAGAAAAAATTGTTGCTTGCTTGTTTGTTTGTTTTTGTTTCTATGTTTCTAGAGGAGTTGGCCTAGTAGAAGAACACTATGTTCCTGTTGCCGGCGGCTCCTCTCAGAATTTTAATTTCTGTAAAGCTGAATAGATAAATAAAATAAATAAAAAGAATAATACCAGCAACAACAATGACAATCTGACAAGGATGTAAAATGGTGACTGGCAGATACATTCACTGATTCTGATTTCCTGTATGTCCTAAGTTAGAAAACATGGTGATGACATTGTGTAACAGAACAAGCATGTCTCCGGATGCGGGTTTATGAATCGGTTTTCCTTTTTGTAGTGGAGCGATAGCTCTTCGTGTCCCACCCTACAGTTGACATCTTTGACTGTAGCTCTGCAGTTACAATCTTTCAGTGTGTGTATATATAGAGATTGTCCTTTGACTTCACAAATGTTTGTGTTAGGCAGTTTTTGTCTTGTCGGACGTTGAACAAAAGAGACTATAAAAAAGGCCCGCAGTCGTTGAGTTCACAACAACCTTTGATAACCAGTCACCTGTCGTCAGGTGGACGTGAAAATACATGCCAGCACACAATCACATCCAGAAAACACAACAAAAAAGGCATTCTCGGCATTTCCAAAGGTGACAAAGAAAAAGCCAAATACATGTACATTTAACAACAGCATGTATGACACTAGAACATCTACATAATACATGGGCAACTGGTGTGACAGGTGGTGGTGCACGAAAAAAATAATGACAAAATGACAAAAATAAAGTGCATAAAATGAAATTGAAGTGTACAACAATGTACAACAGCCACACCAGGAAACAAAAATGGACCCTAAAGCTTGGTGTTGGCGGGGAGGTCAACAATGTGAACATAACTGAGACTATGAAACATCATAACTTACCTTCAATTCTTTCTCTATCTCTGCTAGCTTTCTCGTCTCTCCTCCGATCTCGAAAGCAGATCGGATGGGATCGCTGGAGGAGAGTGAGATGTACGCCGGACTGGCCAGAGCCCTGTACATCATCAGCCGCCATCTTGAAAACCTGAAGGCGTCTGCCTTTCTCCTGTTCTCGCAGACGTTACACGGGCAGAAGTAGTCGTGTGGTCTGACCACATGCTCCCCCTTCTCGTGAACCAGCCGGTAGATGATGTCCACTTCGTTTTTCTGACAAGCCATGATGATTGGCGTCATTTCTGGCGGGAAGGGCGACATGTCGTCCTCGTCTATTTTGGTGGGAAATGTCAAGTCTTCGATCGTTTCTGCCTTGGAGGCCTTCCATTCTGTATACACTCTGTGGCTGAGGATGGCCTCCGCTATTCTCTCGTGTCCTTTGCTTATGGCAATCAGAAGAGGTTCGTTGATTCTGGACGAGTCTAACGTAGGGTCTTCCAGCAGGCACTCCACTACTTCGTAGTGTTCGTTCCCTACTGCCAAAGTTAAGGCCGTCCTGCCCATGTAGTCCGTGCGGTTGATGTTGAGGTCGTCCCCCTTGTCCTGTAGCTCCCGTCTGACCGTGGGGGTGTCGCCGTACTCCGCGGCGTCCAGGAACCGCCTCTCCCGCTCCGTCAACCGCGACTCCGCGTTCAGGAAGAGATTCTTCCCCGACGCCCTTTTCCGGTGGGGATGATTTTTAGGCGCCATTTTTTAGATTCTTCCTGTAGCTAACTATGGACGCATCACCAGAAGACGTCTATGCCTGTAGAAAACATGAAGAATTCACGTCAGAAATCAATCATGATGTTCAAATGCTACTAGAGGAAATCTCAATCCCTGACTTCTCCTAGGGACATTGAGACATAGTGTTCTTTGCAACAAAAAAAAAGTACATTTTAAGAGGTCCTATGATTCATTAACTATGAACACGACCTGTAGAGCGTCCTCGTCATTGACATATCATTTCCTCCAAGCAGTGGGAGAAGTGTGTGTGAGTGGTCGTCAAGAGCAGATTACGGGAAAAATGAATCAACATGTCGAACCAGCTGTCGGAAGGACCACCTTCTCAGCACCTAAGTAAACACTGTAACAATACAGCAGCTCAACCCCACATTGTACGTGTTCACCATAACGCGAGTCACGGCAGTGATTCTGGAGCGTTAGATGTTTATTTGTGTCGAGAATGCATTGTTTTGCTTCAATTTTGGGGGTTGTGGCAACAGTGCGAATATTATTCGGATCGCTGGATGGTCCTGGTCGAGTTAACAGGCAACATTCAGGCCAAGCAGCAATATTTGTAAAAGAATCAACTCTATCGGAATTGAGGAAGTGTGGGGCGCATTATTTATGCTACTGTATATGAAGCCTTCCAAATGACAGTATAGAGAATTGAGTATAGAGAAGAACAAATCAAGCAACACATCAACGACTTCCCGGTCTAATGCTGAAACGCCTACTGGTTGCCGTGCCTGGTCTATGCATGCCTGCCCATCAGTGTCAAAAGTTTCCATGCGTGAAGGTTCTTTCCCCGAAATCTTTCCAAAAACGGCACATACACGTAAGCAAGTCTTTTGTCGTGTCCATCCTAAAGTTGAAATGCAAACCCTTTCCACCGCAGACACCGTGGTGAGTCCGCTTTGTCTCACATTCTGTCGAGCATGGACGTGGAACATCTGTCAACACAGCCAGCGGTCACACCAAGGCATACATTTCTACAAGGCGTGCTTTCAAAATAAAAGCTATCTCTATTCAGACTTCTCTTCACCAAAAATCTATGATCCTAGAGGATGACCCATGCCATAGTTCAACATGTTGTCCCTTTACAACATCCCTGCATTATTAATCTGCACTTAAGATGATTGATTTAAGTCCTGAGAAGACATCTTAGCCCAGTAGAGTCTGTCTTGTGTCTCTGAGTCCTTTTCTCGGTAATCCGAGTAAGACTTTGCAATTGGCCTACTAATAACTAAAAGGTATTTTCCCCAGGGGCCCAAAGGGGAACATGTTACATTCACTCGGGACTACACGCGTTGTATTTCATAAGATGATTGGACATTGCTGCATTCATCATGATATGTTTCCATACGGTTCACCATAGTAATATTGTAAGCAAGGCCCCCCAATACTCAAATCCAAATATCCCTACATATCTTCTGTTTTCAACATTTTGAGCAGATTTTGAAAAGTCCGGTCGGAATAAATGACTTGTCAAGAGTGTAGTATAGTATTTCGTTTTACACTTTTATATCATTCCACCCTGGGTAGCTTTCGCCGCTTCGACGCGACTATGATGACGGTTAAATACTCAGGTAGACCATATCTGGCCAAAGCGCTCTCTAAGACTGGGTGAAATAGAAAGTTTAGTTCCGAACGTTTCGAGTGACATTCACCTCCTTATCAGAAATGGCTATTGACCGAGACATCCGCTACATTTTATCCAGTATTACTGATTGTTTTGTCCAGAAACTTAACAGACGCCACGAATTTTGAAGCTTTCCGAGAAAAGGCAACAAGATGTTGTTGAAGTGTTTCTGTCAGAGCATTCAATCCATACAACGGTTAATGCCCATTCATGTCCAAGGCTCGTATCCGCTTCTTTGTCAGGTGTTACAGAATGTCATGTCCAGTACAACATAAATCAGCTAACATGACTGTAAACACAAACAACAGAACACGAACTATTCTATCGGTAAAGGAGCTATACTCAACTCGGAGACGAGGTAAACCAACTAGAAGCCCTGCAACATGTTCATTTTTCCAGAATGCCCATGTCGCGATTTCGCGTGTTTTCGCCCAGATAGATTTTTATGTAGTGCTCTGAATTATTTATACAGTCCAAACAGCTGTTTCCTTTCATCTTCCCTCGATGAAAATGGTGCTGAGATAGACGTTTGAAGTCGGAAATTTAGTTATCATTAAGCATGAAAGAAGAAACACCTGTCATGGGCACTTATAGAGTCATCCGTCCAACAACACTCCCTGGCACGCAACTCAGTTTCCATAAGTAGTGTATGTTCACGCGTTAGAACACAACAGATCTGAAGTTCTAAAACCTAAAAACACTAAAACACCTGGTGTAGAATTGCGACAGTGACACTGGCGTTATTTTGCTAATGCTTCGTTCCATACTAGAACATATGGAAATTACTGTAGATCCCGATTCACTGAACTTAAATACATGAAGTGTTGATCTCGATCCTGGGAGAACACTATTAAGGGATAACAACATGAAGGGTCTGCACTAATCGTCTTCAGGAGTCAGCTCAATGGAGCACAGAGACGGTTAGTACAGCAAGAGCTTCTGTGTTGTTTTAAAGTTCAGTGTCGTCATGCCTGCAAAAGTACAGGAGACCGACATACTCCTATGCGCACAAGGGTGGTCGCTCCCTGTACCTGCGTGGTTGAAGGTGCTGAGGATCAAACTAAAGCCGTAAATAACCACCAACGGCCCAATTACAGCATGCTTGGTTGTAGGGGGCAACAATTTGCCCACCTGGTGACCCAACAATCGGCAATTATGCCACGGAGACCGACCATACCGAACAAACAACATTCACTTTTCCACTTCAGAGTATTTCAGATGTGGTGTTCTCATCCGGAAAATATGCGCTTCAGCACACATAGATACTTGGCACGTCGTGGCCGGTGGAATGTGAAGACCGTAACAGCTGCAATTCTCTTCGCGCTTTGCTGTTGTCTGAAGAAAACAAGTCCTCGATATTCTTCTCCTGTTTGCAGACAAATTTTTCATGCCACCGAAAGCAAGTGTTTAAGACCACATAGCGACATGCTGTAATTTTATCACCGCGATATCTGGACTGGGATAGACGGAAGGCGACCTAAAGCAGAATTTCACATAAAGTGTTAAAACACTTACGTGGGCTGTTGGGAATGTGCTTCTTCAGCAACTGCAGGCCGATTCCACAGTCATAGATGCGATTATCAAACAAGACAGAAAACAAGCCGCTAGGGTGACCAAACTAATGTCACGTCTTCCTGGGGACAAGAGCTATCCCCCACCCAAAATCTGTGACCCTGGCATGTCCAGATCGCGAGATATAAAAACCAGAAGTTCTGTTGCAGTACCAACAAAAGCCGCCAGGGGACCCAAAATTTAATCATTTCTAGGTTCCGGCAAGACCTACCCAGCTACCAAATTTCATGACAATGCATATAAAGATTCTTGAGTTATGCTGTTCACAGACAGACGGAAAAACAGACAGACAGACAGACGGACAAACGCTACTGAAAACATAACCTTCTTGGCGAAGGTAACAAGAAAGAAAAACAAAAACCATGACAGTGTCGAAAGCAGCTTTCATGAACAATAACCTGTATAGTACTATATCATGTAAGCAATATACGTGTCATACGGTAAGATTGTCCAGTCAAACATGAAACCCTTGTCCTTCTCCCTTTGGGGTTATTAAACGTAACTCTAAGCGTGTAATCGTCGTGAGTACTCGATACATTATTTGATTCATACTGTTAACCTTTGCTGGTCAGATATCGTGTTTCCTTTCTATCCGTGATAGAGTTTCACATCGTAAGGTGAAAAGTACGACGGCCTAGAATTTGCTCCAATTGCTCTTGTTTGTGTGCATATTTCGGAGAGAAACTATTTCATCAATACTCAAGCGATTACCAGCGTGGTGCTCTATGTATGAACTCAAGACCATAGCATGTCCACAGCACGAAATATCATACCCATATACCCCGCTGCAGTACCTTACAAAACCACTAGAGTACCCAAAATTGACATCGACCTTCCTTTTCCCAACCTCATCCTACCTACTAAATATCATAGAGATACATGTACCACACCTCAAGTTATAATCGATTACAAAATCAGCAACCCAAATGTATGGTGTACCTAAACACATAACCTTCTGACGAAGGTAATAAACGGCCCACCGAGCCGTGCCTAAGCATTAGAGAGAAAGGTTTGGCCTGTGTGATCGGGACAAAGGAGACACAACAGTTCTGACCCACGGTAAACACTTTTAAAACCACACCTCCAGATCCGATTAGCGACCGAGCTGTGTTAGATATACACAGGACAAAGATTGGACGTGAAAGCGCGCTGCACGCCACCTGCCCCACTCAACCGTTCCTGGCGATTCAGACATCACCAAATCACATTCATTCGGACAAGAGAAGAACTTGAAAGAAACGCCCCCTGGGTTTAGCCCGGTACCCAGTCTTACGCTGTTGGGGTATTCAGGCAGGCTGTGTCTTCGGGGGATCTAATAGCTTCCACCGCCAGTGAAACAGGCCGACCCGGTAGGAGTGTTCCACTAATAACAGATGATATGCTTGAAATACACACCGGGAAAGCTAGCTGAGGCGGGCGGGACAGAGCTCCTACAGCCCCGAGAAAAACCCGACCCTACCACGTAAGACTGGATACCAGGCTACCCTGGCTGTCATGCCTAGTCAGTGCGCCACACGCACACAGTCTCAACATCAGGGCCCCCCCATGAGAGGGAAAGTGCGACTGGAGATCTCGTTCCTACACCGCACGTCTGTGGTTCTCCACACTACAAAAGCGGTCTGGTGACCTGTGTCGGTTGCCATCTAAACAAGACCCGCGATACCCACAGTTTAGAGCAGGCTGCGTTGTACAATATCTTTTCAGTGAGGCCATATGAACCATTCGTCAACAAGGATCTATGTCAACTTTTCCCGCCACAAGACAATTCAATTTTGTACGACACGCCTTGCGTTTCATTTTTCTGCGACAGACACACAGTAAAGAAGACATCACGTATGGAATACATAGTGGTTTACCGAGTCACACGCAAGAAAGGAGACACCCATTTACTACTACAGCATCTATCCTTTACTCAGTCTACCGTAAGCTATGAATTTTAGTATGCACTGAATTTTTTATCATTAAGAGATATCAATGCCCAGTATATAAGACGTACTGACGAGTACAATGGACAAACTGTAAATACCTTCAAGTTCTAGTATATAAAACGACCACAACCGCTAAATACTTACGCAATTCAGACGCAAGTCTGCAAAGTGGTAACGCAATAAAGTTTTGAAGTTTCAAGTACATGTAACGTTATATCTAATGCGTGTCCATTCATCCTTCATCGGCATATTTTCATCACCTCAAGATCAAGTGTCACACAACCGACACAGAGTCATTGCACTCTGGTACATGATGACTCTGACAATTGATGACAATTGTTATGCATCAAACAATCGTGTAGCCCGAACAACTTCAAACGGCGACTGAGGGCATATCCCATACAGACAGGTATGATATTGCAATGTGGACACATTTAATACAGTGTTGGACGTCCCCAGTGTGTCTAATGTGTTACATATTCTGCACCATAAACAGAGCCTGTCACATTTCGGTGATGAGGATATGGGATGCATTACTGAGAAGATACAAATTGAAATAGTTTGTGTATAAACAAAACGGCTATAGAAGCGTGCCAGACGTTGCTTCCATTTTCTGTCGCTCTAGTTAAGTGTAGGAAACAGATTGTCACTGAAAACAAAGACAGGAAGTGTTGCAGATTATGATAAGTTGATAGAATCTTCCCTGGCTGTATCACTCATGCTTGCCATGCATGTTTAGAAGATAGACTAGTTTTGTAGAATTAGAAGAAAATCGTTTCTAAAACTTCTAAATCTTGCCATACTTTATACCTTGTGTAACAGTTGCAATAGCTTATTCACGCCCAGCATCATTTCCTAGCCATACCCTTGGACAACCCTCAGGCATATCACATGCCAGCGGCTTGTAAGTGTGTGTGTACCCAGTCACACCGTATCGGGGCGTTATCCGAGTCGATAGAATAACATAAAGCACTAAAAACTCCGAAGTGTCATTGAGATTTTCAAAAAGAGACCAGGCTAACAAACATTAATCATTGTTGAGCACCGCAAAGTGGCATCCGTATCGAGCCTTCGGAAAACTTTGTGGTGCTAAGGCCACAGCAAGTAAATTCTATGGATGACATCCTCCGCAGACTCGAAATCTAATGCGAGCGGGCGAAAAAAACAAGGCGGGCTGAAAAAAAACAAGGTTCCTACATTTTTAAAATTTGACTCATTCATTGTACAAATGGTTTTGATTCAGGGGGGACATCACATATACACAGCCAGCATCACATATCACTGCATCAAAGTAAGAAACAAAACATCAGAGCCTTTTCTTGTCTCCTACTTATCTGCCATCCACCTTCCGGCATGGCAACAGACATCTTTGCCCATTTTCGGCATGGGAGTTTGGGGACCACTGTCAAAAGGCAACAAAATTTCTTGCTTTTTTTTTCCAAAATCAGGCGAAAATTAATGCGCGTGCTGATGTCATCCATAAAAATTACTTGCTGTGGCCTAACCAGGTGCAACAGTGACAACACAATCACAGTCCTGGCGCTGAATTGCAGCATTAAACACACGGCACAAGGGTTTTCACTTGTGGAGGAGGGCTGTTGAACTTTGCCATGGCCATCACCTTTGCCAACACCGACTCATCTAACAATCACTTCCACAAGCAACAGTTTTAAAAGCCCGAACAGAAGTGTGTGTGTTCTCATGATCTCCAAGCAGATCCCTTTCGGTGACAAAAAGACAGTATCAAATTGGCCAGGCAGTATCCATTAGCCAGAGAAGGTCGCCGGCCACCGTTGGTGGGGGTAGCGACAAAAAAACGGCCATATATAAAAAGCTAACGATCATTCCCCTACAACCTCTGCTTGGAGAGTATGTTCTCATTGACTGGGAGGCGGCTGTGAGAAGGCCCACCTCAGAGGATGGAGAAGGATTACCATGTTGCGATCATATAATCATAAAAACAACTGACATCTTCTAAGCTGACCGCGTGTATATCATTTCTTTGTTATAAAACAAAGAACTAACTTTTCTAGTGTTAGTACTGTTACCAGTTGTGCGTCAATCTGTTACAGGGTAAACATTTCCCATTTCAGAGCGTACAAAATGGCACCAGTATTGATTGAGCATTGCATAACTGTGGCCCAGATTGTCTGTCCGTGAACATCAAAGATTTGTTTCCATCAACACGGCTCGATAAAACACGATAGCTGACGGCAAACTTAGCCCACAAAAGAGCAAGATCGATGTCAGAACCTACACGAGAAAGGACTATTGTCGTGTTAGCCGCTGTAGGACAAAGCCTTAACACCAATCTCCTGTCAAAGGTGTGCGGTGATATCGTAAATAGATCGGCAGTCACGTTTGTCTTCGATGTAATTAAAAGCTAGTTAATTATACGTCTGACAGAAGAACCCAGTTGACTCTGAAAGACAGGTCGTTTCCTGTGGGGTACTGCGTACCTACTGCAAAGATGACTGGCCCATCGTATTTGTTACTAACTACTCTATTCTTAATATCACAAAACCAGCACATTATAGAAAATGTGGGACCATTCGTCTTCCACTGTCTCGTTAAAAGAAGCCAAACCCAATAAGTTAGAATTTAGTGTTTAGTAGTTATCCATAGTCCATCCTGTACTTTAATGTAATGTAATTGCAATTGGCCTACGGGTAGGAACTTGCAATAAACTTTCTATTATTTTTTGGTGAAGTATATTTTTTTAAGGCCAAACTTCTTGAGCTTCCATAATCCAATGTCCTGGGTTTCAATAAGGAGACTGGTCGTCTTCATCCCCCATCATCACCATGTAATTGTAAAAAAACGCCAACACAAAGACTGTGGTCTGATGTGGCAGCACATCTCAACCATCTGTATCATGTAGAAAAACACAACCTGCTCCCCTTTTTAAGTCGTCAAAGAAGGCCCGGATCAAATGCTGATTTCCTGCAGGCCCCTCCCAGTCCTTTTAATCCACGTGAAAATGATCACAGGAGAGCGGACAGAAAGTTTGTCAAAGGAATTAGGGCGTTGGATTAAGTTTCTTTTCACCGGTAAGATATTCTAATTTACAGTACGCGTCCTTGATCAAAGGATATAGTCAGTGCAAACACAAACGTACACTATTTTGTGTTTGTAGTCAAAACTTAATTTGTAAAGGATAGCTTATCAATCTTAATTAAAGAAATATAATGTCACAGTCTGTGTAAATGAAAGTACTTCCTGCTTTCCTTGGCTCTAAACGCAAACTGCTGTTCATTCCACCAGATAACAAAAACACATGACTACACTAAAATGATAAGTAACTTTATCCTATTGTTTAACCATGCGGGTAATCAAGTTAATCTTAAATAACCTCTAACCCTTTATGCCGCCCCCGATGGGGCCATTCACGTGTGTGATTGTTATGATTTCGGAAAGAAAACGGCTAAAACTAGATTCGTCGTCAGGTAAGTGAACCCATGTTAGGGGCTGCTGGTATTGTAACTATCCAGGCAGGGGGTACGTCTGGATACAAGTAAACTAAATGGCGACAAATGTACAGGGGGTGGGGGGTGGCATACCGGACTGGGGGTATAGTGAAAGAAGTACTCACTGTCAGGGGTAACGACAACAGTGTCTGGAGGCACCTGTCTCTCTCCATGGACACATGGTCAAGGTCATTTCACCCGCAAACAAAAACACACGAGAACGATATTTGATTATTATCAGTGGGGACTATAATAGCTGTCCACAACTTGTCTTGCTCTGCTTTGCTATACGCTAGCCTCGGGCACTTTGAACATTCCTTTGTGTGCTTTTTCTTTAGCATGACCTGCTTCCTTTCGTAACAACTGACGGTTGGAGTTGATGTATGGACACCGCTCCATTACAAGCAAAATAAAGTCTGACCTGTTTCCTTCGCCATTTTTGACTACAGTGATACTACGATAGTACAGTAGGCTTTTTTTAACAGTACAGAACTTGGTTGCAACAAATACACACTCGGATAACGTGGCTTTCTGAGTGAAACACCTTTCTGGTGCCTCTACTTTCTAAGCAGCTTTAGACTTAGAGCATGACTCAAACCTACGAGTATCAGCCAACCGTTCTAAAACCGTGCCCTCATGTGCCCTGCAACAGCTCAACTTTCGCTAATGGCAAGGATAGACCCTTCAGGATATGCTTCTTGTTGGTGTATTCTTCATAAAGTCTTTCTGGATAAACCTCCTTGATTTAAACAAACGCTGAGCGGCCACAAATTGCCCAAAGAAAGCAGCGAGGCTTGTTTGTGGCCCGTGACAAACAGTGTTGCAAGGCGTAACGTCTTTGGAACCATTTGGGGGGCGGCCTCGGAAGTTTGGACACAAAACAGCCCTGCATAAACATGTTTTTATCAGTAATGGTTTTCTGCTTGATCATCCAGAAGAATTTGTGGCTAACGTTTCAAAATGACTCAAGGCTTCCCTTTCGCCGTACCTCGAGTCCCTGTCTCTTTGTCCATTATCCGGTAGGGTGAGTCGCTGGTCTAAAAATGATCGAGTAGTTCCGGGGATGGCCGTGTTGTCAGACAACAAAACGTCGCTGGTGACAGCAAACAGACATTTGGCGTACAGACGAAGGCAATCTACTATCAATACATGGATGTGAAACACCTTACCATGATCAGGGTCCGTGCAGCTGGCTCCTGTGGCCATGTGTTGTCGCGGTAGCGCCGCTCAAGACAATCTCGTTGTGGTGAAGACGTCACTTGTCAGGCGATGTGTGAGACGCGCTCTACAAACACCTCCACTGCCCGATCGCCGGTGAACTGGCAATGTAAACGATACCGGGTGCTCCAAACAATTGCCTCGGTGTTTGGTTTCCCCCACCGCGTATAGGTACTATTACCTGCTGCGACAAAAAAAGGACGATTACCTGAATACAAAGTGCTTCCAAGGGGCATCTGTCGTCACCCCTGTGTCTTGTCAAACTGATAGCTTAACCGATCTTAGCGTGTCCATCCGACTGGTGTCTCCAAAAGCACAGAGCTGATCCTCGCGAATATATGACATCAGACGATGAGTCAAGATCAGAAACATGTGTTTTTTTCCAAAAGCAAAGACGACAGAGTCTTGGCAGGTGTCCACCATGCATACAGGTCCTACTGACAAGAAGGGCATAGGACAGACCTGTCCGATCGGTTTACTAGTATTGTTATGGTAACCATGCTCAGGGCACTGGAGAGAAAATTATCCCCGTGTCTCTGGTTGTCAAAGGTCAGAGCAATTACATGTAATACCTGTGGCAAAACGTACAGTCCAGAGATATGGGCGGATTCGGTCACCCAAATGAGTTTTCAAGCAAAGCGTCGATCCCTTGGTTTATCTTACCTCTCATGGCATGTTTCAGTTTGTACATCACAATATATCATATCATATATATATTAGTCATTATCGAATACATGTCTAAGATGAATATGCAAAAGAGCCACGAATGATATTCTTTCTTTGACCTGCTAAAACATTACTGTAGGCTTCATGAAATAACTGTTTAGCGGGCCAATGAAACATATCGCATTAGGCTATAAACCCGGCATGAACAAAATCATCGGGTTCTTGAGTTGTATTGGCACATTTTTTTCGTGTAAATCTAATTTAAGGGGACATGGCAACTAAATCATCTTCAAAGTCATATCTACCAATGTAGATTCAAGACTAGAATCGATATGTATTGAATTTTGCCCTATTACTCTGCAGACCAATTCTAACCTGGCCGATGTACATTTGTATGTGTCAGTGGCGAGTGATGTCTACATGCAGTAGGCTGAACTCCTGACATTTAAAGTGTTGACAAACAGGTTTGGGTGCGTGCTTAACTATGATTACACGGACAAGCAGGACAAGCTAGCCTGGATTTCGAAGCTCGAGGGGATGAGCTTCGGCGGGTACTCGGGCGTGGATCGGGTTTCCTCGGCATTGTCCGGGCTGCGCTCGGACATGAAAAATTTACTCAGCATTGTTGGAGAACAGCTGCAGGTCTTTTTTTGCTGTCTGAGGAGGGGAAGTTTACCCACGGAAAAATGTAGAACGTTACTTGTTTGCCTTTCGAGAAGTTTATCGTAACGTTCTGCCATTTATTTGCCAGACAAGGCAACAGGTGTAGGTGGGTGGAAAAGTACACCGTACATGGACGCCCCCTAGCGATAAAGTGATGCACCTCTCCATGTTTGTATTGATTTCGTGTCCAATCGGCCGTTCCAAAATGGCCGCTACGAGTCGCGGGTCGAGGTACACTGCGCCAAAGTTTGCACAGCTATCAGCTGCTTATCGCCTCTCTTCTCCCACATAACCTGCCCGAAGCTGAACCATGACCCCAGAGGAAGACTCTCTACACGCCGGGCAGGACGGCCTGGCTGACATCAAGCCGCTCGGAGAACTCACGATGCGTAGGAAAAGGCGCTTCGAAGGCCGTCCTTGGAGGGG